TATATATACACCGGTATATATTTTCCCACACACAGCATGAGAACTGACTTTATTTTGGTCTTTTTATTAAATCCTCTGTCACCTCTGATTACAATGAGCTGAATGTATCAGTTACACGTTTGCTTCACGTGATATTCTACCTGAGTTTTCTTTGTGAGCTGCGGTCGCTTGGACTTCTCGTGGAGGTGGAACGTCCTGCGTCGCTCGCGCATCAAACGCACCATTTTTCAGAGGATCAAAGGAATCACTGTTGTCTTTCTCATGCAGCGTTTTTGTGACAAAAAGCAAAACGAACTAAAAAGTATTTATTTCCTGTGAAAACACAGTCGAGCCGAGAGCTGAATGATTTCTCACATGTACTGAAGAAGCTAAATCTGAGTTTTAAAGCCAAAAGAAGCAGAAAACTTTCCAAAGATAAATGTACCGAAGGGCTGGCTAAAGGCTAACTGTAGCAAAAGGCTAACTAAAAGTAAAAAACCAAGGCATCAAAAGCTTTGCAAAAAGGGTAGCTAAAAGTAGCAAAAATGTTAGCTAAAACTTAAAGTAGCAAAAGGTAAGCTGAAGAAAAGCAAACAGAAAAAGGCTAAGGCTGGTTAAACTAGTGAATCCTTGTGAAAAGAAACAACAGGCTTGCTAAAGGTAGCAAAGTAGTTTGGGGGGGGGCTCATTTGTGGGCCCAATTTCATCAGAGCTAAAAAATAAATAAACTAGATACCGCACAGCGGTAACATAATGACCCCCGCACGCACAAATGCACCAGAACTCAGAACATACATACAGTGTATATACAGTATGTATGTGTGTGTGTGTGTGTGTGTGTGTGTGTGTGTGAGTGTGTGTGTGTGTGTATAGTAAAGTAAGTAATTAAGTAAAGTTTTATTTATATAGCACCTTTCATAGAAATAGATTCACAAGGTGCTGTACCATCAGAGGGAAATCTAAAAGATATACAATCAGAACAGGATACACAAAAAATTTGGAACAAAAAAGTATAAAAGCTGTACAACCATCAAACTTTCAAGACTGCAATCCGAAAAATAAAACAAGTAAATAATATTTAGACAAAAATGGGAGGGCAGAGTAAAGTATTAACATATTAAGATGAAGGATTATTAAATCAAAAATTAAATTAGAGGCAGGTCTTCGAATGGGTAGATTGTGGAGTAC